CCTATCGATTTAACCAGGAGTTGTTGTTAAGCACTTTTTCCATCACCGGATTCCCTATGCGCTAATTGATGCTTCCTCTCCAACTCGATGAGACCGCACTACTGAGTGAGCTTTTTTTTGGTGCTCTTCCTAGAATTCCTTATGCCTCTTGCTTCAACACAAAATAAGGTCTTTTCTCAGCCACTTTATCATGAAATGAAAGCACAATGAGTGAGTCTTCTTTCCGAGTATAGTACTAAGCAGTCAATATAGAGTTCATTTCATTTGTCATACTCCTGGTACCGAAGCAAAGTACTCATCCAAAAAGATGGTTTGATCATGCCCTTTGTCCTTAACCCATGGTTTTCCTATATCTTCTAATGATTAATACTTAAAAGTGTATTTTTATCAAGATTTTATGTCATTATTTTTGCACTTGAAGTATCAATAACTCCTTAACATAAGCATGTTTTATAATAATATATATAATAATATAAGATACCTTTAATTTATGGTAAATGTTCATTTTAAATGCAGGCCTATCACATAAATGAAAGGATTGATTGATGAATTTGAGAACTAAAATTGAAAGGACAAAGAGATGGCCAAACTTAGAAAAGAGATGTCAGTGCAGTCCAAACCGGAACACTATTTGATAATTGAGTTATATCTGGAGCTGTAGATCTCAGATTTAGGTCTACTTTATATGAATGGAAAGGTAAGAAATAGGCCTACAACTTTCATAGGAGCCCAAGATCTAAAAAGGCCATTTTCAAGTTCAAATTGGAGCAACAACAAAGAGGTCCGAATTTGTCCTCCAGCCCGATCATTGTTTAGTGTTTAGCCCATATCTGAAGTTGTAGAAGTCTAAATGATCTGAATTTTTTACACAAGAAAGCTGAGACAATTTCCTACAACTTTCATGTTTGAAGTGGTTCTAGTTTTGACGTTATCAATGACGTTTTGGGCAGACAAGAGAAGATATGAATTGTCACCAAGTCAAGAGTTGGTCACCCACTTATCAATTAGTCATCAAATCAATAGTTTTCAATTTTGGCCTATAAAAGGAGGCATTTGCCATGCATTTAAGCATCTTGGTTTCCAGATCAAGATGCTCTTGCTTTCTCTCTTTGTATTTTTTGTAATGTTTATGCTTTGCTTTCATTAATATCAAGTTTATGCCTTTCATTTTCTTTCATTTACTTAGTTAACTCTTATCTTATTTATGTTCTTATTTTGTTTATTTATTTTTCTTTCTTTCATTATGTTTAGTTAAGTTTATTATGTCAAGGTGAAAAGGTTACACTAATGGTGTAAGAATAAGTATAATGTAAACTTAATATGGACTTTAATGTTTGATACTAACATGTTTTATATTTGTTATCTTGTTAACTCTTTAATACTTTGCTTGTTAAATAACTAATCTTGATTTATGTTGTATAACACTTGGTACAACAAATGCTTGGCACTTTCATAGCCCATAATGTATGGTATAACCGACACCTGAGCTATGAAAGAAACTTGATTTGTTGTTAACATAACTTATAATCATGAATGCTTGACGAAATTTACAAGTATTAGCATTAATTGAATAAGATGACTAATGTAATCATGTTAACAATATATAATCTGATTGATTTACAAGTATTAGCATTAATCGAATAAGATGACTAATGTAATCATGTTAACAATTTATAATCTGATTGAAACCTCCTTTGTATGTGGTTTCTAATTGAATAATAAGAGTTTATACTATACTTGTTTGACATACTATTAGTGGATTCTCTAACCTTGACATTTGTTATTATTATTGTTTAATCCTTACATTAATATCCCATCTCAAAGTTCTCATCTTCTTCTTTTTCTTCTTCTCCTTCTTTTTCTTTATTACTACTATCACCACTACTACTATTACTATTATTATTATTATTATTATTATTGTTATTGTTATTATTGTTGTCGTTGTTATTGTTATTATTATTGTTGTTGTTATTGTTATTGTATTATTGTTATTTATAATTTATACAATTAACCTCCTTGTGGTTTGACCCCGGTCTTACCGGGTTATTTATTATTTCGACACTCCTGCACTTAGGAGAAGAGATCAATCTTTTAGTCGTGTCAATATATTCTCTTTCTTGGTTCTCTAAAGGACTAAAAACAACTTATTGAAGTGTAACTAACTTTGTGGTGTTAATCCAATATACTTCTCATTCATGAATTATTATTTGTTGGGTAGGGGTCAATTCCAATCATGTCGGTGCCTACGTATAAGTTATATTTGTATCACTCTCCTATCAAACTTTATTTACTTAGCTTTTCAAGAGTTGAATCGTTTGTATGTGGGTTACTTGATTGTGAGATCAAGAGGTTTGAATCATTAAACCTAATTAATTTTTTCAATTTTGTCCAAATGACTTGAAAACTTATTTTTGATTAAATTAAGTCCTTAGTTAAGTCAATTGAACCCATTAAAAGTTTAATTAAATCTTTAAACTTAATTATTTCTTCAAAGTTTGAACAAATTTACTTGCAAACTTATTTTTTTCTTTAATTAAGTCATTTAAACTCATTAAAAGTTTAATTATGTCATTGAATCTAATTAATTTTTTCAATTTTGATCAAATTGACTTTCAAACTTTATTTTCTTCAATTAAGTCATTTAAACCTATTAGAAGTTTAATTAAGTCCTTGAACTTAATTAATTCTTTAAATTTTGGTCAAATTGACTTTCAATATTTTTTTTTCAATTGTGTCCTTTATCCTATATTGTCAACAATATTCCAATTGGATTATGTTTCTCGTGTTTTGACATGTTGTAACTTAAAAACTAATCTATTTGTGTCTCAAAAATATTTTTGGATTTTGAATTTATGATTTTGCTTTTGGATTTTTAAATAAAATGGAAAAATATAAAATAATTTTTGGGACCTAAATTTGGGTTATGATAGGGTTATCCCAATCTTAAGTTCCAAGTTGCAAGTTTAGATGTTTTACCAAATTGACTTCGATCTTTTTTTTTTTTCCTTTAGGTTGGTTTGAGAATTAAGCTTTTTATTTTTATTCAATTTGTTTTTTAAATGATTATCTCAGTTTCACGATCATATCGTGTATTTGCATGGCTGACTTAGGTGGACTTGGATAAGTTTTTTTTTATTTATTATTTTTGAATTTCATCCTTTAATATTTGATTTGTTTGGAGTTAGGATTCAATTTTATTTCTTCCTCTAAAGTTATTTCATTCTCATTTGATTTTTATTTTATTATTAAATAAAATCATGAAAATATTTTAAGAATATTAGGGGAATATGTTTTCATAGTATTGGCAAGATTTTTTAATTAATCATTGTAATTTATTTATTTTGCTTTATTTACTGTCACTCATGTTTTTTTAATTTTATTATTGATTTAATTGAGTTTTTTAAATCTAATCGAGCCAATAATCTAAGTCTTGGATTTGTCTTATTTAAAAACAATAGTGTCACCTGATCATTTTTATTTTTTTTACATTGAAAAAATTAGCTTGGCTTTACATATCAATCTAATTAAGTTATAAATAACATAAAACCCTAATTTTAAAACCATTCACTGAAAACATGATAATAGCATGTATAGTAATATGAGAGAAATTAGTATTTAGATATAATGTTCTTAAACAAAATAAAATTAGTATTATAGTTTTTACAAAAAAAATTCATGTCAAAAAGTTGATTTTTTTAACATAAAAAAACAAATATATAAGATATTGAAACAAATTTTAGGAAGTTATTTTAAATATTAGTAGAGCATGTTAAAATGTATAATTATTCTCTAAAGAAGTTTAAATTTTTTTTAAGAAAATAATCAAGAATCTCTTATAAAAAAAAACTTCGATTAAAATATTTGTTGAAGTTTATGAATTTTAATTATTTATTATGTTTCAATAAATGGCTTTTGGTAACCTGTTTTTAATATTTTCTAGAATTCTACTAGTCAAAATAAAATTCTAATAAGGTCCATATAGAGAGTAGTGTGATTTAAGCAACTTATTTTATAATATTTAAGATTTTATGTGATGTATAAATAAAAATATAATATAAGAAAATTAATCTATTTATTAGGAATTATGTTAATATTGTAGTATATTTATTAATTAGATATAGAGTTTAATTTACATTTTATTATTGAGATATATTCTATAATGCATATAGGAGAAAAATCGGTTGAAGTCTTTTTAGTTTTGACAAGTATAAGTTTTTCTAGGTAAGATAATATATATAGTATTTATCAATAAATCTTTAAGTGATGATTATTATAATTTAAATACTCTTTTCAAATCAAGTAGTTTTACACAGAATTGGTTCTCTTATATAACTAATAATGATCTATTAAGTATTTTTTTTAGATGGTTTAATATGATAATTTCTAATTTAAGTATTATATTGAAGTTTAGTCAAATTATAATTAAATTAGTACATTAAAATCCAAAGTCAAAATTATATTAGATGATTCCTAGAAAGAAATTTAATCAAATTTATAAGACTTGTTCAGATTCAAATCCACGGACATAAACTATATATATTACATAGTTTATTTTTGTGACATTCTTTTTGACCGAATAAATAAATAAAAACCTTGCCTCGTTAAAACTTAAAACTCATCAAGAACAAGGCCACAAAAGCAGTCCACGTGCAAAGCCTCCTTTAATTAAATTAAATAATTGCAGCACCCCTCTCCGTCGTACTCCTAATGGTAGTTGGTGGTGATTCAAAAAGGAGGAGCTTTACCGACACGTGTCTGCCCTTGTGATTTTGACTCGGCGGAGCACCGGATAAAACAAGTTTCTCATTGCTTACAAAATAATTTATTTCCTTGACAAACTAGGAAAAAGAAAGAAAAATCTCCAATTTCATTTGCATTTCACTTTCATTTCATTTGCATTTCAGATCTCCTCTCCCGTTTCTTTCTTGCTGCTGCTGCTGCCTCTTTCTTTCTTTTAATTTTCCAATAACAATAAGAATTATTATTAATTTATTAGTAATTTTTTTTTATTTTTTTTTAAATAATTATTCTCATAACTCACGGCTCACGGAGAAGAGAAAATAAAGGACAGAGAGGCTACTCTCCACTCTATTTTAGAAACCCTATCAAAAATCCATCCAAACTTTAAAGAAATTATTATTATTACTATTAGTGTTACTATTATTATTATTATTGTTGTAAAAATATTAGTTATTAAGATTGAGAGAGAGAGAGAGGATGCCGTCGTCGCACGGGGATCTGGACCGTCAGATCGAGCAGCTGATGGAGTGCAAGCCTTTGGGAGAGGCGGAGGTGAAGACGCTGTGCGATCAGGCGAGGGCGATTCTGGTGGAGGAGTGGAACGTGCAGCCTGTGAAATGTCCGGTCACCGTTTGTGGCGATATTCACGGCCAGTTCTACGATCTCATCGAGCTCTTTAGGATAGGAGGGAATGCACCTGATACCAATTATCTCTTCATGGGAGATTACGTAGGTCAGTCTCTCTTCCTTTTTTTTCTTTCTTTTATGTTATTAAAATTGATTTACGGCTATTTTTAATTGATACCGATTATCTCTTTGTTGGGTCTCTGTGTGTGTGTGTGTGTGTTGCTGATAACAAAATTGAATGCATTTCTGATTGAGCTGCAAATTTTGACTGTTAGGACTTGAATTTCATTTGCATTTGTGTTAACTAAGTTGTGTGCTTGGTCGAAATCCGGGCGGGGCTGAATTTCCGCTGATGGAGCTAGGGATATGATTAATTTATGATAGAAGTACTGACCATTGCACATTATATATGTGGTTAGGTTTTGGGTTTTTTAATATCTATTACTTCCGTTGTTAAGATTTTCTTTTTATGGGATGTTGAATGGGAATGATTTCTGGCATTCTTTTAATGTTTTACACTTACAACACTATCATTTTCTAATATCGTCAGTTACATCAATGCAGATCGTGGGTACTATTCAGTGGAGACGGTCACGCTCTTAGTGGCCTTGAAAGTTCGTTATAGAGATAGAATTACAATTCTTAGAGGAAACCATGAGAGCAGGCAGATTACTCAAGTGTAAGATTTTGTTTTTCTTCCTTGATGGAAGCTTGCCTATGATTGAGTAATATGAGTTCTGATACTGCTCAAAGAGCACAATGAGCCATTTTTGTATGATTCCTCAGTAAGAGAATATTTCTTTAATTTCTGTCTTTCTTTGTTAGATTTTTTGTTTTTCTTGAAGTGCCTGTCATAATGATACAGTAGTAAATATAAAATATCTGCACAGATTATTGTGTTATTGGCTGCTCTGATCAAAAGATGCAATACTCTATAATGGAGACCCCTTACTTCTCAGAGTACCTGGCCTTGTGAGTTTAGTTAACTCCTCCTCATAGTACTCTATTGTGTTCCTTGACTCAAAAGGAAACGCTATGAATCCACCTATATTTGGAATCTTGATGCAAATCAGTTTTCTTATCTCAAGTCATAAGGCAGGCTACACAGATCTAGGATGATGACTGATTTGTTTTTCAGATGCTAAATGTCGTTGCAATGGTTTATTATGTCATTTGATGATATCCTGGGGACTTGCTACTCAACAATCAACTAAGTGATGAAGCCTTTGCGGTGGTCTCTTCTCCACCATACTCAGCAAACTTTAAGTTCACATGTACTCCCTTCCAAAAGTATATGCTGCTAATATTTCTAATAGTCTGAGACCTATTCTTTGCACTATAGACATTAAACCCACTTGTTTTTTCCCTTCCAAAAGAACATCTTAGCTAGCTCATAGCCTCATAGGCTAAACTTAGTTCTAAGAATGTTCTATTGCCGCCTCTCTCTCTCTCTCTCTCTCTCACATGCAGGCGTACCTGCACTTGCATATGCAAACACATGCTGGTAATCATTCTGTTATCTCACTTTGATTGCTGATGTGCTTTGTTTCTATTTGTTTTCAGGTATGGTTTTTATGATGAGTGCTTGAGAAAATATGGAAATGCTAATGTCTGGAAGTATTTCACTGACCTTTTTGATTATCTACCCCTTACAGCCCTCATTGAGAGCCAGGTTTGAGTCACAAGTGTTTTCTTGATTTTTGCTGCATGTAATCAATTGCCAGCTTCTTTCTTACAGCTTCTATCTCTTGTTGTAGATCTTCTGTTTGCACGGAGGACTTTCACCATCTCTTGATACGTTAGATAACATCCGAGCTTTAGACCGTACACAAGAGGTATGGGTAGCTGCTTCACATTCTTCAAATTCTCACATTATCAAGACTGGAATATGAACTTCAAGTTTTTAATGGTTATGGTGTGCTAATCAGTTAGTAATTGAAGGCAATAGAAGCCAGCATGATGGCCTTGTCTCTGTTATAGGAGCTTTCATGCAAGTGTTTTTTGGATTCATGGAAAGTAACTATGATAAAAATTATTATTACATCTAAAACTTGGTTATATCTATGACATTTGCTAATTTTCAGCATTTTCTTTTCTGGTCAAGGATTAAAATAATGATAGCAGCATTCCCTTCTCTACTCTATTGCACTGCAATTCTATCGTGTTAGCCATTTCTTCTTTCTAGGGCTATACACTTGTGCATTGTTCAGTGCATTGCCAGCAGCTTTTTAACTTTGCAAGATTAAAGTATTCTTCTCTTGATTTTGGTTAAACAATCACATCTTTGTCATTCTCTGCACAAGTAGGTTCCACATGAAGGGCCGATGTGTGATCTCTTGTGGTCAGATCCAGATGATCGTTGTGGGTGGGGAATATCTCCTCGTGGTGCCGGATATACATTTGGACAGGATATAGCTCATCAGTTCAACCATACCAATGGACTCACTTTAATTTCACGGGCACACCAGCTTGTCATGGAAGGGTACAATTGGTGTCAGGTGACTAAACCTGGACAAGACAACTTTGTTTCTTCTTTCCATGTGCTTTTTTTCTATACTTATTAAATCAATGTCTTTCATTTTTACTTCAGGAAAAGAATGTGGTTACTGTATTTAGTGCCCCAAACTATTGCTACCGCTGTGGTAACATGGCTGCAATTCTAGAGATTGGAGAGAACATGGACCAGAATTTCCTTCAATTTGACCCAGCACCCCGGCAGATTGAACCCGACACCACTCGCAAGACCCCTGATTATTTTTTGTAATTTTCATATTCCTGCCAGCTGTTTGGAATCCTTGTTTGTTGCTGTATCACTGTAGATGTGTCTTAAAAGGAGCTTTTTGCTGTTTAAGGTGAGGTTGATCGACAACATCATTCTTTAGTTGGAGTTTGTGCTGCTGCTGCGACGATGTTGATATGCTCAAGTCATTGAAAGACTGTTAAGGCATGAATGGCCTCAAGTCTTGTATATTCTCAGAAGAAGAAAGCAGCAATAACATGGTATATCTTGTTCTGTAATTTTACAAATTCAAGTTAGAGTGCAGGTATTTTTTGTGAGCGAAATGCATGTTGCTTTCTTTATTTATTATGATTTATAAACAAAACCAGAGGCAAAAGAGATGCTTAAGCCTAGAACATGTTGCATGGCTTTCGTTCAAAAAAAGAAACAGGGAATGCTGCATAACCCATAGCAGTTACTTTGAAAAGGGTCGAGAGCGGGCCAGTAGCTACACAGTAATGTTCCAACAAGATTGGCTCGTGCTCGACGCAGTCCTTGTTCACTTTCAACAGCAGGTGCATACATGTATAAATAAATACAATCCTGGTCCAAGGGATGATGGGACAGATGCCATTAAAGAGAGCACGAGTCATTAATGCTGTCACGATATATCAGGAACCCCTGCCATTCTTACCATCTAACGAACTTTCATAGCTTTTACTCGATGATTCATAGGCTTTGTTGAGGTTACAAATCAGAAAAATATTACACTACAAAACATTTTTAGAGCAAAAAACTGCAAATGATAAACACTTGACCCTTTTCTACATGAAAATCTAATAGCTTCTGAACCTCAGATATCATTAAAAACTGGTTTGATGTGGAGGAGGAAACCGTGAAACTCGAGAAAATTTCAGGGTTAAAATCTGTTCATCTGGATCCTTCCCCCTCCAGCTCCGGCCACCACAATAGCAGTCTGCTTTCTTCGGAAGTACACTACTGAACCACTTGCGAGTAACAAACACAAAATAATCCCCTGTCCAAAGTGATTCAGACCATAAGAACGAAGGCTAACATTAGAATACTACATAAGCAGAGTGCTTGCAATTCTTCTTGCCAATTTTCACACAATAAACACAAAAGCGAAAGAAACTAGACAATGAAGCTGTGGCTCATAACATTCCATTCAAATATGGACCCCCTTGAATCTATTCAGAAAGTTGATTCTCTCGAGCACACTTTGTACTTTTCATTCACTGCCATTCTCAGATAGAAAGACATGGTATGCATGCCATACAAAGAAGAAATATCTATATATTTTCTTTCTGAACTTTTTTAAAAAAATCATTGAACTTACTAATATATAAAAATCAGAAGACATTTCTTTCTTCAGAGTAGGAATTGAAGCATTGCCCATACAGAACCTAACTACCCAAAACCTCAAGACTCCCATTTTGAGGCTCAACATTCCCCGGACAAAATTCTGACTGCAGTGCTAACTGAGTAGCAAATCTCTTAGAACATGCACCACTATACTTCAGAAGAAAATACTAAGTATTAACAATAAGCATTAGCAATAATTTCTCAAGCAAACTCCTAAGGGCTTAGACGAATTAATTCTCACTCAGCAAGGCTGGGACTACTCTCAAGGTAGTGAGTTTGAAACCTTTGGATCTAAATCGATATTGACCAGCATATCAACAAATTGAACCAATTAAATATAGATCTGGAATTTAATCATTCTTCTTATTAGTCATAAAATTCAGGAGGATGAACAGCATCAGTCTTATGATAAATGCACGTTCAACTCAGTTTAAGTGAAATAAAAATTGTGGTACCCAGGACATAAAAGTATGACGAACAAAGGAGACAGAAATTTAGCAAACAAGTAGCAAACCTCTTGAATTTTCAATCTACATCATTCTTGCAATTAAAGGATTGAGGCAAAACAGTGAACGGTCAAAGGATCACTGTGATGCAGCCAAGGGAAAAGAGATACATAAATTTCTTAATTTGATTTTTTATTTGTCTATGTTTTAGTTCTCCTTGTAAATCTAGTCTAGTTAAGAAATTTAGGAATCTTAGCAACATTTCTAGTTTCTTGTTTTTTTTCCTTCTCTTGCCTTTTAAGGAAGGGGGCGTTAGTCGTTGCTTTACTACTCTAGAAGTCCACTCTATCGGGTTCACATTCGAAGCATTCTGAAATGTATTGGAAATTGCCTTTTATGTGGACTACCAGCCAGGTATGGGCAAGTCTCCTCATGCCTGGTATGAATGTTATCAGTCTGCAGTTACTAGGAATGGGTTTTCTTCTAGCCCACATGATTCTGCTCTTTTTGCATGTCACTGTTCTAGTGAACTGGTTATTCTTTTGTTGTACGTAGATGATATGATTATCACAGATCCTGACACTTCAGATGGAAGTCATGTTTTCCTTGTAAATGTAGTCTACTTAGGAATCTTAACACCATTTAGGAATAATAGTTTATTTGACAACTATAATATTAATTCAATGAATTCTATTATGTATTTGTTGTTGTTGGTACCTTTTTGTTTAAGTTTGTGTTCTGCAACTTAAATACGGTACACACTAAACAAAGACTTAAAAAACTTAAAGTTTAAAGAAAGCATGTCACAAGTTTGGTCAATTGTTCGTGGAGACCTGTTGCTGCCAAGGCTTTCAATGATAAGAAAGCAGGGGCGGACATTGATTTTCACCTTTGTTTTAGGTCTTTGATGATTTTCATCCATCTGGGGGGTAAAGTAAAAACATTAAAGTTATACAGTAGAGGGTACAGCATTTGCCTATCTTAAAAGTTTTAGATGGCCAAGAATGTCGTCTAGACTCCAAGTAACAGTACTTAAACCTTCTTTGAGTGGTGGAAAATATAAAACCAAACAACCAGGCCCATGAGCTTTTCTTATTTGAATTCCAATATCCTGTTAAATTCTGGACTACTAGTGCTTTGGTGCATATAACAGGAGCTCCTATATTGTATAATCAAAGAACTTTGATAATGGAGTTACAAGTATTTGGTTTAGCTTCAGAACTGCAACCTTGAGTGTTCTTTCTCTTTTCTTTTCTCCAAGCATTATTTTCTTCTTCTCCTACTTTATTGTTACAATAGCATTGGATTACCATTGATAGCACTATTAATATCCAAATTTGCATATATCAACCATAACTCGCGACAAATCCTCTAGGGGACATGCATCTAAAGTTGTCCTACATGAATTTAGTACCAAAGCCTTTTGTAAATCATCTATATTTCTTACCTAACATCACTTAAATTGCTATATAATGATAAAAAACAACGATTCAATTATCACATGCCACAATTACATAAACAACAAAGAAGAAGGATATTTAAAAAGACACAGACATACCTCAAAACCAATTACTGACAATTTCTCTGAATTAACTGATATACAGCTTCTGTAAGTGATATAAGCCTGTGATCCACCCTTGGCTGTAGACGAATCATCCAGTAAAGTTCTACCCTCATTTGAGGCGGTGGTCTCTTGCAACATTACATGAGGATTCGCATCATCAGAGATTTCAACAGCAGATCGACCATTTGGAGAATGCTGCTTCCCCTTTTCATTCTCTGTATCATGATTAATTTCAATACATTTGAAAGGGATTCGGTGGCCAGTCTCGCTGCATCGATATTTTTCATCACTCTACCAAAACAAGAAAAGCAAGATACCACCAAATCCTCAAATCTTAACAACATGGTGGTGGTGGTGGTGATTATTATTATTATTATTATTATTATTATTATAAACAAATTGAAGGAATTTAATAATTGGGAAACAAATTAAGAAATTAAATACCGCAATTATTATACCAAAATAAGTGACAAAATTCAATAAATTATTATTAATATTATCATTAGAAAAAGAAAAGAAAATTAAAAAAGGAGAATGTTAATAAACCTTCTCAGAGTAGGCGCAGGGAACACAGGGACCCGAAGGAGAGCAATCGAAGGTCAGGTTAGTGCCGTGAGGTGTTTCTTTGAAACTAAGTAATACTCTACGCCCTAAACCTCCGTTTCTGCTCCAAATTTTATAATTATTCAATTTTAATTTCATAAAAATACATGCTTAAACAGAATGAATCTGAGAGAGAGAGAGAGAGAGATTTGTGCTCACTCAGTCGTGTAATCTATGTCCAACGCGTGAATGGAAGAAAGCAGCGCCCATACTGCAAGGATCGCCGCTGGTGCTGAATCCCAACTTCCCATCGTTTTCTTCTTCCTACTGCTTTTTTTCTTTTTAATTTCTACTGATTTTTCTTCCTCCACCACCCTCGCTTTGCTGATTAAAAATATTTTTGGGCTTTTCTCTCTTTTTTTTTTATTGATTAGTAGATTAATTAATAATTTTCTTTTTTTAATTCTACGTGAATTTATCTTCGGATCAGTTTAATTAATAATTTTCTAATATTTCTTTATTATAGAAAATTACTTATCACTTTCATTTAGGTTTTAAATATGTAATTTCATTTTTCATCTTAAATTATGAAATATCATCCTATTCATTGTCCTCTACAAAATTTATGTTTCATTTTATTTGATTTTTTTAATATTTTAATTTCATGTACTTCAAATTATCTTATACGCCATATTACATTAACTAGATGGTCTTGAGAATATTGTAATAATTATTTTTTAAAATATTTTTATTTAAAAATATATTAAAATAATATTTTTATTATTTTTTAAAAATTATTTTTAATATTAATATATTAAAATGATGTAAAAAAATCAAATTTTTAAAAACTCTCAGTTCATTATGAATAAAACTGAAGCATATTTTGAAAATTAAAAAAATATTAAGGTTTTTTTTTTTTTTAACAACAGTTAAAAATCAAGATCATCATGCTGTTGGATACATCCTCAATGGAAGGCATCTCTTCTTATTCGCCTTATGTTCACAGCTGGAAGGTTGTGTATATTTCTATTTATCTGGTTATAATGTATCAGTATCTCTAATTAATAGAATATACCAATTTATATGCTCACCCTAAAAAATGTTTAAATCTCATGAAATTTTTTTGTTTTGTTATTAAATCTAAAAATATTTTTATTTTTATTAACATGTCTTTTATCTATCTCTATAAATGCAAGGTTTTTATCTGGAATTATTGTTTTTATTAAAAAAATATTTTATGATTTTTATAATAAATTAACAAGAAGTATCAAAATAGTATATCCATATTTTATATGTGAATTATAAATAAATATGATAAAATCATGTTCAAAATATATTTAAAAATTTTAAGAATAAATAAATGATTTGAATATAATTTTTATGAACAATTTGTTGTTGTTGTTGTTGTTATTATAATATACTATACATAATAATTAAAAATAAATTATTAAAATTCAAATAAAAATTTATAATAATATTTAAAAACTATATCAAACTAAAAGAAAGTGAATATGATAATTTTTTTAGATTATCAGAAAAAAAAACCAAAGCAAAAAAATATATATATAGAAAAAGGTCAAGCTTAGCTCCTGACTTGCTTGTAGCAGGTCCAGCCCTCGCACCTAGCATTGTTTTATTTTATTTTTTATTAAGAGGGCGGGTAAAGATGTTGTTCACCCATTATTTTTTTGAGGAAAAGCAAAAAACAAAAATGACAAGTTGTTTGTCGCCTTAAGAAAAATATTGCCTCCCCTGACTCTCAAACCTGCAACCTATTGATTTAGATACAAGTGTTAACCAATTGAGTGATGATACAAAGTTATTATCATGTAGATTAAATAAATATATTAACTTGTTTTATTATTTATATAAAGAGAGATGCACCGTAAGGAATCCTAATTGTTTTAGAATAGTAGATAATAGTGATATTAACGGTTTAGTTTTTCAATTGTATATTAATGAAGTCATGAAAAAATTCATACTAGGTTTGAACTTTTTATGATCGTGTCTTAAGTTGAGATGTCTAGTCTTGGTCTTGTCTAGTGAGTGTTCATCTAGAAAAAAAAAGTTCCTTATCAAAACACAGGATCTTCTAGTACTTAAATTTGTAAATGTAAGAGGAGTGAAATATATGTAAAAAGAAAGAGTATGAAATGAAAGAGTATGAAATAAAAGAGTAAGGGTGTGTTGGATAAGAGAGCAATTGAATAAAGTCAACTTGAGTCTACCCTTTTCTTACCTAGTAATTTGTGATATTTATAAATATCAATTATCATCTAAGCTTACCTGATAAAGAGAAAAAAACGATGGGGAATATATACTTTTTCTGAAGATTAATCATTGGTTGGAATGTCATGCTTGCCATTAATAGATAGGTTGGTGTTGGAGATTAAGTCATTGGTGATGAAAATGATCAAGTCAATTTTAAAGATAGCTTTTGGTGGAAAGGTTGGCCTTAAATGTTAAATAGAGGTCGTTCATAGAGAGAGAGAGAGAGAGAGTGGTATGGTGTGCGGTAGGTGGTGTATTATTGAGAAAAAAAATATTTTTAAATCTTAACATGTAGGTTGAAAACACGTGGATAGCTAAATAAAAAAAATAATAAAAGAGAAAATAAGAGAAGATATATATATATATATAAAGGTTGAGAGGCAAGGAAAATGAGAGGGAAAGCCCGCCCAACCAAAGATGCTTCCCATTATTATTATTATTATTACACCATCATTTGGCCTTTAAGTTTTTTAAACAAATATATTTGGAAGAATTTGATCAAAATTAAAGGAGAAAATACTTATGTTACCTTATTGGCTATGCAACATGAAAATGTTATTTGTGTTTTCCTTCAAATTTTTGTTAATATATATATGAGAGAGAGAGAGAGAGGATAGTTTAATTGTCTTGTTTGTTAAGTGAAGCACTCTAAGTAATAATAATAAAAATATATAGTATAAAGGTAAATGATATTTATACATCTAAAAATGAATTTTAGAGAGAAGTGTCCTATAAATAGTCACAAAGAATAAAGAAAGATCTTTAATCTTTTTTATATATAAGTGGTCGCAACGACCTAAAAAAGGATCTCTAATATTTTTTTTAAAGATAAATAGTCACAAAGACCTAGAGAATTTTAATAAAGACATGAAAATTTTATTATAGAGATTTTCATTGAGAAACATCACTACTTTATTTGAGAAATCGAAAGGGTAGAGATATAATTTCTAGAGATTATTTAGAGATTATTTGATTTCATATAACTTGTAAAGTATATAGACTTCCTTCCCTTGTTTTAGTTACTTCTATTTTCTTATAAATTATTGGAGGTAAATCCTTGTAATCAATCTTTCTATTTATTTTTTAGTATGTGACATTTATCAGTGTTATATCTGTTGTCACAATAAAAAAAAATAGAACTTATTAGAGTTTCGTATGTTTATGTTACTTTCTATATAAGGAGGATATTACATAATCTTCTTCCTTTAGATAACATATATCACCTTGGTATGTATGGTGGTTAGAGGTGTGGTTAGATGCTTAAGGAATGTCAAGTAATTGCAAATGTATCCATTCGTGCTTCTTTGGGATTCTCAGGTGGGAGATTGATGGCATTTTGAATATTCTGCTATTTGAAAACATAGGTTTTCCTGTCTCGTCATGCTTTTTCCTTCTACTTGAATATGATTCTTTATGGCATATTTTATATTGATAAGACTTTTTTCATGAATAGTAAACATGTGTTCCCATAATAAGTAGTTACAAATTCCATTAATCAGGGCCTTAGTAACAATAAGTTTTAGTACATTCTACACATTAAGCATTTTTCATTAAATCTATGAAGGTATTCTTTAGTACTTTCATCTTCTCATTGGATAATGACAAAGAGCTCAATCATACTTGTTTTAGCTAGAATAATGGTGTTAAACAAGAGATGAGCTTAACATAAAGATCATAAAGACCAATAATAGAATCATGCTTGAGATAGTGATGTCACACCCGAGTATACCTTTAGAAGGTCATCAGGAGGATTTTACATATAGCTTCACTCTTTTAGATCACAAGCTCTAAGATACTTCTCATATTTTGGATGTGCTCTCTAGGATCTATAAGACCATCATAGTTGTACGATTTGGTCTTTTTAAAGACCATCTTAGAGAGGCGAGTGTGTTCTGTGACAAAATAAAGAGTCTTCTACCTAGTAAGAATGGTGTTCGTTCTTATTCTTAAAAACTAGTGCAATCTCATATCTAAGTTTTTTATAACAGAGAGTGTATAAGCAAAACTCAAAATAAAGATTAATGGTGATAGTTGCGTTTATGGCTAATGCTTGTTAAACAATGCTCTTTATAACGAGAATGTCTCCTCATAGAGTTGGAGTGTTGTGTCTACTTTGCATATTGTTTTGTCATGTCCTTTAATGGAATTGAAGCTATCTCTTATGCATTTGGATTATATAATAAAGTTATATTGCATTTCCTGTTGATGAAATAGGAGAGTGTGAAGCCATTCTTATATGGCTAAAATAATATTGTTGAGCACTTGTATTTAATGAATGAGTTGATGGAGATTTAGAGGAGATAGATTTCATGTGATGAGGAGATTAGTTACTCTTTTTTATCTTAAAGTTTTTCAGCTATGGAAAGAATAAGAAGTGAAAAGGAATGAACTAGATTTTGTCATTTTTCCATAGACAATGGATAAAGTCATGAAAAACTTCAAACTAGATTTAAGCTTTTTGAGGTTGTGACCTAGGATGAGGTGACTGGTCTTGACTTTGTCCAATAGGTGTTCATTTAAGAAACAAGTTCCTTATCAAAATAAGGGACAATTTAAAGCGTAAGTTGGTAAATATAGAGGGATAAAATAGATGTGAAAAGAAAGTGTATAAATAGAAAAGTAAAGGTGTGTTGGACATGCGAGTAATTGAGTCAAATTAGCTTTAGTTTATCCCTTTTTTACCTGTTGACTTGTGTTATTTATAGATACCATAAGTTATATAAGCTTGCATGATAAAGAGGAAAAAATAATGAAGAATATATGACTTCCTATAATCTTGAGTATTGATTGATGTATTACACTTGTTATTAGTGGATAAGTTGTTACTTATAAGCAAATCATTATTAATAAAGGTGGTTAGGCCAAACTTAGGAATAGCCTTTAATAAAAAGGTTGGCCTTATAAGTTTGAAAGATGTTGTTTAATGATGAATAAGGGTTATGTGGTGTAACACCCTTACATTCTTCACGATATAAATTTTTCATAAGCCTTAAACTCATGAAAAACTAAGCAATTTTAAAAAACAAATATTCTATTAGAATTTCAATATAATTTTTCTTTTTATAGAGAAATTGAGTTTTTTTAACTATAATAAAATTCTACCTAATTTATAACAAAAAAAGTGGAGCTTCAACTAAAAAATT